CAGGGGCTGCTGACGACAGAAGCAGGGCGCTGCCTGAGTGCCAGCAGCAGCCACAAGTGGAGCGTTCTCAAAACACAAAACAAAGCTTGATCTTGAGTTCAAACTGCAGCAATTCCCCAGTTCTGCAGGGGTAGTAACTGGGAATCGCTGAAGTTTGAGGCAGATGAATCTTGCTTGCTCTGTGCTGGGAGGAATTTCTCTGAAATGAGACCTGGTATGGCTGAAGCTGAGTGAGCTCGAGCTGGTTTTAGCAAGAAGACATCTAAAAGGTGAGATCTTGGCCTTTCTGGAGTTGGTAGCAGTGGAATTTGTGTTTCATTAATGGTGCAGAAATGGCAGTACCTGCCCCTAAAGGGTTGTGACTGTGCACATGTGTGAGCAATGTTAGGTAGTGCTGCATAACAGTGTAAGTAATTGGGTGGTGTGATGTCTTCGTGTAGAAATATTCTCCATAAAAACAGCTGGTTTTCCTATTAGACTGGTATTTTGAGAATAAATTGTCCTGCTCCTGTCACTTTTAAAATTTTAGGGAGGAACTTGAAATCCCAAAGCATTCTTTTCAAAGTGCTTAAAAGCCACCACACATTCCTATTTATACTGGGCTTTGTAAGTGTTTATTCTTTTTTTCCTTTGTAATATAAAGCCTGAATTATGTTGGTGAAGATTATAGGAACTTCCCTGTGAAGAAATTGATACTTTTTAGTGAGGGGAGCAGTAATTCAAAGGTCAAGTAAGGTCTTGTCAGTTTTTTCCTTTGAGATGTAATTTAGAGGGGATCTTCCCATGTTGGTGTCTTGACTTATTTATCTCCAGCCAGGCCAAGCGACTTGCTGCCTTTTCTTCAGCCTGCCAGGCTTCCCTGTGCCTGGTGCCAGTGTTTGAGGGGCAGGATTAGGGACAGCCTAATCCTGGCTCAGGTGGACTCAGTTTGGCAGGGAGAGCTGTTAAAACCAGGACCAGTGTTTGGTTCTTCTCCTGGCCTTTCCTTGCTGCAGCACGATGATCTAATACAATGGGTATGCATCTTATTTGCCCCCCTCCGGGTGACATTGTTCTTGTTTTTCGTTAAAAGGAGGAAGTTTTTCTTGTTTGCCCGGTGACTCTGCCCTTCTGGAATGAAGATGAGTAATGCTGGCAGCACTCCATGCACCTGCTGGGTGCCACCCTGCGGGATCACCTGAGCCAGGGGCAGCAGATGGAGGCAGGCAGGGCCAGGAGGGTTGGATGGGAGCTGGGGAGGTGTTTATGGATGGAGTCTGGAACTCCTCCTGGTTAGGAGCAGGTGCTAAAATGATCTCACAATGCTGGGACTTGTTGGGTGCTGCCTTGCAGGTCTGGGTGTTGGCGCCAGACGTTGGGAATCTTTATTCTCCAGGACTAGCCTGGTGTGTATTCTGTCCCTTCTCCTCCTCCTCCTTGTTGGGTAGGACTGGAAGGAAGCAAAGAGCATTCATTGATAGCATCCACTGTTCATTAAGTAATTTGGGACCTTGCCTCTGAGTCCCTGATGCTCCCAGCCCCTCCAGAGTGAGCCCTGGTGCAGAACAGCCACGGTTCAACGACACAGGTTGAGGGAATTCTGCAGGATCAGGGATCAGCCTGCTGGGCTTTGCGTGGGCCATGGAGCCGCAGAGTGTTTCCATTACCCAGGGGTGACTCAGCATGGGAGTACTGCCCAGGGACCTCACAGCTGGTCCTTTCCACACTGTTTCCTGTCCCCTCCTCTATTACAGAGTGCAGGTCTGTCTGAGGAGAGCCCAGCACCTAAAAACCAGCCAAAAACTTCATCTGCCTGGTAGCATCCCATCCCCTCATCCCCTGCTGCCAGCCAGGATGAGCAGTATCACAAGCACATCCTTTAAGAAACCACAGAATTGCTCTACAGAATTTGCTGCTGGAGTTTGAAGTCTGACACTGGGTTGTTTCAGGTGTGAGTGACACAGAATTTAGGAGTAAAACTGAAAGTGCTTAACTGTAGTGCAGCCCTGATGAGGTGGTGAACCTGTTCCCATCCCACCTGATGTGTAAGCTAATTAGCTCCTTGGCTAAGCAGTAATTCTGGGCAAGTATGCACAGGCTGTCCTCACAGGGACTCTTGCATTCCTCTTGGTTTCACAAGCTAAAGAAAGATGCTTCTCTTTGCTTGTGAGGTTATTATTGCTCCATGCAGGTTAATTGAGCTATAGCATTAGAGCCACTCATCAAACAGTGGTGAGTCGCTCACTTGTCTAAGCTTGTTTATTTTTATAATGCTGGAAAATATTTGCATGCTGTACAGAAATGTGCTGCTTTGGTTCCCTACAGCCTGGCAGTATTATCATTTTAAATTCTTCATTAATCTTCCTTCCTCATGAGGGACTGGCAAGGTTCCTGTGCATAATTACATGATGTTTAAGTCAGAAGCCTCAGCTACTTGGTTTTTACACAATGCCCTGCAAACATGAGACTTTTCTTCCTTAAATAGTACCTACACTACTCCCATTTTGTGCCCATTCTTGATCTCAGCATGGTGAAGCATTATTTGCAATTCCTGTCTTAGTTCTACCAGTTCTAGGTTCTGATGTTTCCCTCAAATTACCAGCAGTAATTTCAGACCAGAGTTCAGAATGAAGTGTAAGATGATAGAGCTGCAATGCTTGGGAGCAAATTGCAAAATTGATTCAGCCTGGGAAATCTCACTGTGGTTGCTTGGATGAGATTTGATCTAAACCTGGATTTTCCACTGGAAAAGGTGTTTCTAGGCTTTGTGGCTATGGAGAGTGCACCATCCAATCCATACAGTTTGGCAGAGTTGTTGGCAGTCTGATTTCAGCCCTATCAATCATAATAGATGTAGGCTAAACCCCCAAATATGTCTGTTTAAAGTATCTACAGAACCTTCCCAATTTCCTTCCAGCTCTATCATAACTTTTCCAGTGCATCTCACTAATTTCCATCTTTGGCACAGTGAAAACCGAAATTGCTGGAAGAGCCTGACAAAAAAAATAGAGTTTGGTGTCCAAATAAATAACACATGGGCTTCAGCACCAATTGCACTGTTCATTTTTGTGTTTTGTTAATAGAAAAGTTAACTCACTGGTTCTGCCAGGAGTTTTCAGCCTGCTCAGAAAGCAGATTCCAGGAATGCTGCCACCCAAGTTAGTTGCACAAGATTTTCTTTGTTAATTAAAAATAATGGGATAAAACTGGAAAAAAAAATAGGCTACCAGTTGGTATTTAAAGAAAGCGGATTTGTTGGCCAGAATGTCTTCATATTATATCTCAGCCCACCTTTTGCTTTGGGTTTCCAGGTTGATTTCTAGTTTACACCCACACTAAAAGTAGTAGTATTCAGTTCCAGCAAATGTTTTTCAGTGTGAACTGGGCCTCCCTCCATCAGCTCAGCAGAATGAGCTGGTAGTGCTGAGGAGTGAAGCTCTGCGTGTGAAATGGTTCCTGGAGCATTTGAAGGAGTTAAACATGCACAGATTGGATTTGTCTGTTGAAAAAAAATCTTTAAGGCAGAGAGGCAGAATCTCAAGCTGGATTGTATCTTTGTATTAAAAAAATAAACAATCCCCCCCACCTCCTTAGATTTTTCCAGTTGAGACAAAAGAAATCTTTGGGTGGAAAGGCAGCATCATATTGCATAATAAAAGCCTTTTTATGCTCTAATAAAAAGGGTTGCTCAGGGCAGCTTGGTTTTAAAAAAAGTTATAAAAAGAAGAGTCAGTGATGATTCTGGTGTGAGGGGGATGAGGAATCCTTAACTTCTGTTGTGCAACACTGAGAAAAGAGGCTAGAAATTGCTCTAGTTATCTGCTATCTTTAATGCCTGCTTTAAAGGTTCTTTCCTGCATATTTGCTGGCAGCTGTTTTCAATATATCCCTCTCGAGCTAAGTCACCAGTTAAGAATTTGACATTAGCTGCTTTTTTCAACCACCATCTTGAAGTACCACACCACACAACACTGCCTTGTTCTCTCCTTAGATATTGTTCATGTGCCTTGAAATTGCTGTTGACACCTCAAGTATTTAACTTGCAGATCTGAGATAGTTTTTGTTGGGTGTGGATTTGTGCTGTAATAAGTCAGAGACAGAAGTATCCACGTCTGCATTCCTTCACTACATCTGTTCGCTTTATTTTTTGCAACATTCCAGGAAATTAAGTTAAATTATAGGTATCAATGAATATTTTTAGTTTCACTAGTTCTGTTTTTATTGCCTTTCCTTAAAGTATGAACACACTGAGTGCACAAATATGTTCCACATCTTTTGTATTGCTTTTTCTTTAGGACACCTTCAGTAACTGCCTCTTGTAACATGCCTAAATACACATTGTTCTGTATTCTCCTGCTTCTCCTCTCAATGGTTAAAGTTTCTTTACTGCTTCATATTCTGAAGGAAAAAAGTAACGTAATTAAAGAGTGTTTTGGGAATTAGAGCTGTGCTCTGCAATGTATTTCTGGCATAAACTCTTGTCAGTGTCCTTTTCTTCCCCTGACTTTTCCAGTCTGTAAAATAAAGCTAATATTCACAAACTGATCACTCTCACAGTCATTTCTGAGGCACGGTGTGTTGAAGTTTATCAAGCATTTCACAGTGTTACTGTCCAGCAGAGGATTTCTGCTGACACAGTTTGAAATACTCAGCACCACTGGCAAAGGAGCCATAAGCACAGGGCATCCTCATCTGTGCTGCAGCTTTCATTCTGAGCAAAAAATAAAACAATGGAGTTAAAGAATTAGCGGGTTTTAATCACTGCTTCACTTGGAGGCACAGATGGGACAAAGCATTACTTGGCAACATTTAATCTTGGAGCAGAAATGGTCATGATTAAAGCAGCAGCTGGAGTAGATTGCTGGGGACACGGGGGTTCATTCATCCTAAAGGGATCAAAATTGTTGGGCTCTGGGAGAAAACAAGAAGCTACAAAAGGAAAATCTGAACTATGGGCCAAGGTTTATTATTTTGAGGGTCTCATCTGCTGGTTAAAATGGTGTTTTCAATGCTTTCCTCAGAATTATTTTGGGAGCGAGGAGAGTATCAAGTGATCAGGCCTGCTGAAGAGGAGCCTGAAGCCATCTCTGAGTGGAGATCCTGGGTTTGCAGGAGGAAGGCTGAGTGTGTCCCCCCATGTGGCAGAACTGCTCCTCCTTCCCGGGGAACTGCAAGTGAAGGACAAAGGTATGTGCCACTTCAAACAGCATTTCAAAGGAGTCACATTCCAGGTCAGCTAACAGGGCCTGAATTCCTGCTGTGGTGGGCAGCCTGGAATGAGGTGGATTTTAACTTTCCCTTCATTAAGATTTGCAGGAGGCTTTTGTGTGCCCAGTGGGAGTCCTTGTGTTGCAGGGTTGGCTGGTCTGAGGGAGCAAACGGGGAGGTTGTGGAGGTGCAGCACAAAGCAGACCCTTCAGGCCTCCTGGTTCTGCCACAGAACAAACTGTCAGGAACAAGTTACCTTCTGCTAAGGGACAATGTAATGCAGAAAAAAGGACACAAAAGAAAATGCTAGAACACCAACACATGTTGTGCTGTCAGGGCAGAGCTGCAGCTTGGCCAGCGAGTGAGGCTGAGCTCTATTCTGAGCTGTTCTAGCTCAGAAGTGGCTCTGCTTTCAGTTACATGTCTCAAAGGTATCATTAATTTTTGATATTTCAACTCAGGCAAGGCCAGTGGGCCCGAGTTTCCATGACACACTCCTGACTCCACTGGGAGACTGAGCAAAATGCAATTGCTGTTGGTCACTGGCCTAATCGGTGCTTAGGATGTGCCTGACATTGGCTCTTTGTGTTTCTCTCATTGGGACGCAGTGTTTTTTCCTGCCACTCAGGGGTCTTTTTCTGTTCCTTAGATCAGACAACTCTTTTTCCTCCCCTTGCATTTGCATGCATTCCGCTGAGGATATTTAGATGTGTGTGAGGATTTGGTTGCCTTTGTACAGCAGGAAGTTCCCGAGTCCTCACTTGCACCGTGCCTGGGCTTTTCTGCAGCAGGGAGAAGAGGTGCTGATCTCACTCTGGGAATTTCATAACTCTGAAAACCTGCTGGCTAACTAGGTATTCATTAATTGCTTTATTCAAGCCGAGAGATTTCTTTACTTCTTTTGAACCATATGCTATCTCAATGGGCTTCTTTTTTGTTTTTTTTCTTTCCCTTGAAACCGACAAGTTGCTGATTTCACACTTCAATCCTTGTCTGCCTACAAATATGGGAAGTGTATTTCACTGTTGGTAACTCCAAGTATAAAGCAAACAGGTTTCAGGCATTTTTACCATCATCCTGTGAATTCCACGTCTCCTTTTTGCCCCAGATGCTGTCTGAGGTATTTGGCACGCATCCCTACTGCTTGCAGCGGATTGATTTGCCTATAAACTTTCAAGTCACCTTTCATCACCTTTGTGAGGCTTTGCCCCCCGGGCATGCACGTCCTTCTTAGGTCTCCACGGGCCTTGATGACCCCCATTGTTATGGGAACCTTTGGTAATCTAACCTGCTTTTTTTCTGTATTTCAAGCCGTTGCTCCTGAATATCTCTCCCTCCATCCACTCCGGCGCTAATAACCGTGTCTCCTTTCCTTAGGTCAAGGGCAGCTTTTACATTCCACCCAAAAGGCACCACAGTTTGAGATGAGGAATTCAGAAGAGCAAGCAGCTACGACAGTTTTACAGCGCCTGCTGCAGGAGCAGCTCCGATACGGGAACCCAAATGACAACCGCAACCTCCTGGCCTTACACCAGCAAGCCACAGGCAATGCCCCCCCTTTCAGCAGCACCGGCAGCCCGGCCTCTCAGAACGAAGGGCTGAGCTCCCAGGAGCACCAGCTGGTCACTCATGCTGCCCGCCAGGAGCCCCAGGGCCAGGAGATACAGGTGGACAACAGCATCATGGAGAAGCAGCTCTCCCCACGCCTCCAGAACAGCGAGGACCTGCCGACCTACGAGGAGGCCAAGGTGCAGTCGCAGTATTTCCGGGGCCAGCCACACGCCAGCGTCGGGGCCGCCTTCTACGTCACGGGCGTCACCAACCAGAAGATGAGGACTGAGGGGAGGCCCACGGTGCAGAGGGTGAGCCCGGGGAAGGTGCACCAGGACGAGGGGCTGAAGGACCTCAAGCAGGGCCACGTGCGCTCCCTGAGCGAGCGGCTGATGCAGCTGTCCCTGGCCACCAGCGGCGTCAAGGCCCACGCGCCCGTCACCAGCGCGCCGCTCTCCCCGCTGTCCCCGCTCTCTCCCCAGCAGTCCAGTGACCCTTACAAAAGTTCTGGCTCCAATGAGTTCTACAAGAACTCGGTGCAGCCCCCTTCCCAGCCCAGCATCAAAGGAATGGAGCAGCGGGGGCCTCCCCCAGAGTACCCTTACAAAAACGTGTCCACCCCGTCTATGAACTGCAAGCCTCAGGACTCGGGGCATTTCTATAGTGAGCATCGCATGAGCCAGCAGGGAAGATCTGATGGGCCCATGATGAGGTATCAGCATCCCCCTGAGTATGGCTCAGTCAGGTAAGAGAGACCTTAAAACAAGCCCTGTGATAGCCACGTAGGGAATGACAATATAAAACTCAGTCCATGAATGACAGTGTAAAACTAAAACAGCCACGTAGGGAATGACAATATAAAACTCCTGAGGCAGGTTTTCCTTCAGCAAAGACCCCATCTTCATTATGTGAGATGACACCTTGTGTTCAGCTGTAGACTGTCTGGAAGGACTGTTACCTGCTTCAGGAGCTGACTAGAGGCCTGATGCTTTTTTACAAAAAAAAAAAATCCAACAAAAAAAAGAGATGCTGAGGCTTAATACTTTTTTACAAAGAAGAAAAAACAAGCCAACTTGATTTTATGGTATGGGGAAGTTCAATGCTGAGGCTCCAGAGCCTCACAAAAGCTTTGCTACAAAAGCCAAAGTTATGGTGTGATTCATTGTAGAAACTTGCAGTTACTTACTGCAAGACTTAGGTTGTTCTTTAATTACATCCGCCAGACAAAAGATTTTTCTTAAAAGTGCATCACATAGGACAGGAGAAAATGAATGAAAGCAATAATGGTACAGGTAGCAAAAATCACCTCTGAGAGTCCTGTAGAGTTTTTAGAATTTTATTTTCAGTGGCCTGAAGTGTAGGAGAGGAAAATTGAATATGCTTTGTGCCTCATCCCAGGCTTGCTTGTTCAGCTTTTGCTCATTTTTCTTGCATCATTTGAAATCTCAGCCTGTTCTGGTTCCATCTAGATAAGGAGCTGGATTTGGCTTGAGCCAAACACTGATGTCCATGTGGGAAGATGAAGTTTTATTAAGGTGGGCTAAAACCCCAGCCTCACTTTACCTGTTCCCATACCATCTCACCTCTGCCTGACCAGGTGGGATCTGGTGTAATGATTTTGGCCTCATTTTGAAGCTAAAAGGATAATTCAGAGGAGCAACGGGAGGATGTAAATGGAGAGGTCTCTGTGAATTTGTGTTTGCACATTTTGAGGGGAGCATGAAGAAACCATTCAGTATTTGGGAGCAGAGTCTGAGCTTTAGGGAGTTTGAATCTGCTCAGAACCTTCCTAGCCCTATGAGGAGCTATTTTCAGAGTTTGTCCACCATTGTTTGTGATCTGAAATGACTTCAGCAGCATACAAGCCTGATGAAAAGGCCCTTTGATCTGGCTAAATAAATAATAAAGAGGCCAGGAAAAGGGGAAGTAAAGGGTTTAGGGGGGGTAATGATTGTAGAAGCTCGTTGCAAATGTTTTTGCAAATTCAAAGGCCTCAAACCTCTGTGCACACAGGACAGGGAAACAGCTCCTCAGTGGTTCTGCTGCATCAGAAATACTCCTTATATTATGCAGTGAGATGTAGCCTGCTTGCTGTTCAAGGGAGAGGTATTTGAAAACACGCCAACAGTCAGCTCCTCTAGACAGGGTGATTTTTGTCTGTATTGGATGGATCCTGGCTGCTTTGAAAGAACATGGTGGGGGGAAGGAGGGGGAGGAGAAAGGTTCAGCTGGCAAGGTTTCCAGTAGGGGAAGCAACTGAAATTTGTCTTCAAAGCACTGGGAATCTAATGAGGTTACTTTTTAACCTAAATAGCTGCACAGAGGAGAGGTTTCCTTTGCAGGCAAATGCTGGAGCAGTAGAACAATTGCAAGACTAATCCATAAATTACAGAGCAGCGTAGCAAAGGAAGGCGGCGAGTCCTCTATTCCCCTCCCTCTCCCACATGCCGTAAGAGAAACTGTCATTTAGACAAGAAACCTTCTGTGTTGCTAAAGGTGCAGCTGGGTGATGGCGTGTGGGGATTTTAAAGGCAAACAGCTCCGGGGAGAGCTTTTGCCTCTCACCAGGAGCGTCCTTGCAGCCTCCAGTTTTCCTGCACCGCGGCTCAGCCTTTATCGGGATCCATTTGGATTGGTAAATGTGTGTGCATTTTTTGAATTGTGCGTCAAGGAAACAAAGCCCCTTCTCTGTGCTCCCGAAGCCACACCCTTTTCTGCGGGTTTTTCCCCTCATTGTTCGGGGGAATTTGAGGGTGACCTAATGATGCGGTTAAATAAAACTCGTTGAGCAAGATAAACATTGGGGAATTCACAGCATTCTCATGCTTCACCCTCCCCGGTCTGGGAAAGGAATGGGCTGTGTGGTAAGTTTAAACCAGTCTGCAAACAGTTTGCCTCACCTGCTCCTGGGCGGTGCAAGTTTGGGAACAGTGTGTGTTGGTAATGATGTTGGTTTAATGTAAATACCGGGCATGCCGGAGGCATCTTTGCTGTTATTTGGAAATTTTACAGAAAGTTTAGAAGAGGGCTGGCCACATGTGAAGCTCCAGAGTCGGGTTCTCTCCCTAATACTTCAGCTGCACTTTAGCATTGGTAGTGAAGACAACCCTCCAGTCTAAGAGCAGAGCAGGGGTGCCTTGGGCTCCGTGTCCTGGGCTGCAAGGGCTCCTGTGGCAGCACAGCGAGGGCTGGAGCAGCTTTGGGTGCAGAAAAAGCCCCTTTCTGGTGCATTTTGTGGTGCAGAGGAAGCCTCTGTCGGATGCATTTTTAGTGCAGAGGAAACTCCTATCTGGTGCATTTTCGGGTACAGAGGAAGCCCCTGCCTGATGCATTTTTGAGTGCAGAGGATGCTCCTGTCTGATGCATTTTTAAGTGCAGAGGAAGCCCCTGCCTGATGCATTTTTGAGTGCAGAGAATGCTCCTGTCCCATTTTTAGGTGCAGAGGAAGCTCCTGTCTGATGCATTTTTGTGTGCAGAAAAAGCCCCTGTCTGATGAAGGTTTGGGTGCAGAGGAAGCTCATTTCTGATACACTTTTGGGTGCAGAGGAAGCTCCTGCCTGAGGGAGGTTTGGGTGCAGAAAAAACCCCTGTCTGATATATTTTTAAGTGCGGATGAAGCCCCTGTCTGATGCATTTCTAAGTGCAGAGGAATCTCCTGTCTGATGCATTTTTGGGTGCAGAGGAAGCTCCTGTCTGAGGCATTTTTGGGCACAGGGGAAGCCCCTGTCTGATGCAGATTTGAGTGCAGAGGAAGCCCCTGTCTGATGCATTTTTGGGTGCAATGAAGCTCCTTGTCTCTAATTCAAGCGCCATCCTCTGTCTGGAGCCCAAGTCCCTGAGCTCCTGCTGTGGAGATTAATCCCATCGACTTCACAGAAAGTTTTTGAGAGGGAGGTCTGCAGAATTTGTCCCATAATTAGTGAATCACCGTGTGCACTGCGTTCCCCTGAGCAGCATCAAAGTGGGGGCTAATCAGGTGTGACTGGGCAGCAGAACAAAAATTCCTGGGTTTGATTTCGGCTGTGTAATGGAGTGGAGCCTGCTCCCTCCCGCGGGCAGCATTTCCTGCTCGGTGCAGGAGGGGAACTGGAGCTTCTTGAACATGAAACAGGCAGGAGAAGCTGGGAAGGCATTAGAAAAAAGCCATAACGAGCCAGAGATCTTTCCTGATCCATTCTTCTGCCTTCCCCACTGTGCTGCTGTGCCACAGACCTTGTGTGTGTCCCTCTGTCCTGGCAGCCTGAGCACCCCATGGCTGCAGAGCTGCCCTCCCTCCCTCCCTGGCTCTGCCTTCCTGCCCCAAAAGCTCAGCTCACCCTGCTGGTTCCAGAGCCATAAATCCAGGTTTGTACTTGGCCTCTGTGGAGCTCCTCTGCCCATGCCAGAGAGCAGAAATTCCTGCCTGGTGCACAGAGAAGTGGCCCTTAAAGTTATGCTTTCAAACCCAAACACTTGTGGGGGTAATCGCTCTGAGTTTTGTTTTCCCCCCTGCGTTTGGTTTATTCAGGTCTCTGTGACACTGAGGGAAATGGAAGGAGGTTGTGTAATTTTGTTGTATATGTGTTTTGAGAGTCTGCATTTTTTCTGAAGTGGTTGGTTCATATAAAATTGTGATTGCTGTTGTGGGGTTACCTGAGGACTCATTCTCTCATGGGGGGAATTTTCTGCTACCATTTTATCAGCAATACTGTTGAGTGACACCAATAGTCATTTTTACCTTTACATTTTGCAGTGTAGCATAAAAATATTGAAAAATCCAAATTGTGTTTGTTTGCCTTTCTGACCCTCTCAACCCAAAATTGCTTTACCAGAGAAATAAATTCTTAATTTCTCTTGTTAATATAAAGAAATCCCAGAGCCAGGTATTTTTTACCCACAAAATATATGTAAGCATTTTATAAGACAAAATTGTAAGCAGTGGGAATGCCAAAAAGTTCTTTGAATGTGTATGTAAAAGCTTGCATGCAAGATCTTAAAAAGGCTGGTGTCACTGTGAGGTTACTAGGATTTTTAAATATATTTTTTTAAGGTGATATTTTTAAAATATAATTCTTTAGGATGTATTAACCCAGCTGTGCTGTCTCGTTCTGCTGGGAATATAAATGCATTGGTGACATTTTGGAAGCTTTAATGCTGTTGGTAATGCCACAGAACTAGAGGCTCCAAGCTCTCATGTTCTAGCCTGAGCCCACAAGATTGATATAATTTCAAGACTATGAGAGGCTTTGGATGTGAGTGCCAAGATGCTGGAGTTCTTGGAAATGTATCCTGTTTAGAAATGCTCAGCCATGATTTCCTAGAGTTGTTCTTTACAATAGGTTTTAAAAAAAAGGATCATTACAAGGCATGTCAGTTCCACTGGCCCTTCAGAATTAAAGTGCTGCTGTTGTGTTTCTGTGGCCATTATTTTGTTCATCTCATTGGTGCTTAGGATGGCAAGGTTCTGCCACTGGGTCTCTGTTGACAGAATAACAAGATGTTTTTAGTCAAATAGCTCAAAATGTTAACACTGGCATCTAAATCTTCCTCATGAGGCTTTTAAGATTAACTCACTGACACCAGTCTTCCTGAGTATCTGCTCCAGGTTGTTTTCAGACTGGAAAAGAGTGTTTTGTAGGTTGAAAATTGGTTTTTTGCACCCATGAGGCAGACTGGCAATGTATTTCTTTTTGATCTAAGTCTGTAGGTCATCACAGATGAAATGTCACAGGAAGGTTATTCCCTAATTGATTACAACATCAAAGCAGAGCTGTGGTGATAGGTAAAGAGTAAACTCAGGGAGATGAGTGGTTTGTGAGGATGCAAAGTTTTAACTCTGCACACAACTGGGTGAGCTGAGAAAGCAGCAGGAAACCACCTGAGACAAACCAGGTGACCTTGAGCATGGCCTGTGATGGTTTTGCCTCATTCTTCATTAGGAGAACTGGCAAATGAAGTTAATGAAATCAGTGCAACAATAAGTAGAGCTGCCCCCCTGGGAGGAGAAGAACCAAATTGCTGCTACTAAACTGAACATTCCTGAGGAAATTAATTGCACATCATTCTTCTGCATGACCCCTGAAATCCTCATGCTGCAAATGATCATTTCTGGGGAAATACAGCTCCTGCAATGATGCTGCTGGCAGGCACCACAGTCACCTGAATGTGAGAAGGAGAGAAACAGTAGCTAGAGCAGTGATTCTTTGTTTTTTCTTAGTTAACAAAGGCTAGATTTGTTTCCCCATTAAGGAATTTGAGCAGGAACTTGGAGGTCTCTCTGCAGGGAAGCAGGGCAATGAGACACGAAGGGCATGAGGCTGAAATAGTGAACCCTGTGCTGGGCTGAGAGCTGCTGAACTGCCCTGTGCTGCTGCCAGATGTGAGTGGTGGGTGCCAGGAGTGATTCCCTATTTCTTGGAGAGCAGGAAGGATGGTGCTGAGTGTTTGCTCTTGGGCTCAGAATTGTTGTGTGTAATCCTTGAGCTCCCAGCTCAGCTTCCTGCTCACTGCTGTCAGTTCCTGATCCTGTGGGAATGCTGTGTCCATCCTCTGCAGGGCAGGAGTCCCTCCTGGGAGCACAGGCAGCCACGGGAGTGTTCTGTAGCAGCTCTGGCCAGGTGGAACAACAGTGTGTGCTTTTCCAGCTGCAGGGCTGAAGGGCATCCCAAAGGGTGGGAATTGTGTCAGAGCAGCAGGACACGCTGAGCTGCCAGGCTGGGTCTGCTCTGGCCTGAGCTCCATGCTCAAGAGGAGACTGGCTGCAGCATGGAGAGGGAGAGACTTCAACTGTTAGAATAAAGAACCTCCAGAGAAGTTAAAGGTTGAATGTTTTTGGAGGAGAAAGCAAATCCTGCCTCCTGAGGTCATCCAAGCATGATAAATCCACACAATCTTCTCAGGGAGATTTCTTACTTGGCTGATGCAGCAGGAGTTGAGCTGGGGATCTCCAGAGCCTGGGAAATGTGAGAGGGTGTAGCTTGGATTTAGTTCTGTGGTGGACTCACGCAGGTTATAGATTGTTAGATGTGTCTCTGATACTTGCAGAGTTATTGTTAGGAGCAGTAAGCACACCTACTGCATAGGACAGGGCAGGTTGGAATGAAATGCTGCTTCTGATTCTTTGGCTGGTTTTCATATTCTTTATTTGTCTCATTTAACCAGGCTGCAGTTTATTGATTGATATTTCAGAAAGCTCAGATCAGTGATGCTGGAATAGTAGCATCAAGCTTAGCCAATGCTTTCAACTCTCTATCCTGGCTTGCAGAAGAAGATTGTTTTCTCGATGACAGATGGCACATTTAAGGCCAGAACAAAAGAGCCTGTTCCTAGCAGTCCTTAGTTGAGCAGTTTTATCCACAAAGTGTGGAGAAAAGTTATGAAAATAATTTTGGCTGGTAGTTGTTGATGCACTTTCTTTTAGTACTTCTGCAAAAAAATAGTTTCTAGGAAACACCTTTGTGCCCTTAGAATAAATTTTCTGCTAAAGATTTGATTTTGAAATGCTTTTTAAAAACAGACTTCTAAAATGGAAGTGTCTTTTGTATGGGAAGACCTGTGCACTGGAGCTACACAGCTTGTCCCTGCTTTGTGCACTTTCCTGTGCGTGACTGTGATGGAGCCTGTGCTCTCTGTTTTCCAGGCAGAACCCAGATGTGCAGCTGCAGTTACAACAGAGACCACCTCACCACCACAGCCCGACTTCTTCCTTGACATCCCTGGGATCTTTGACTTTGCTCCAGTCTCCTCCACCCTCTAGGCTGTCCCCATCCCAGCACCAGCAACCTCTGACTCCCAGCCAGGCAGACCCTGGCGTCCTGCCCCGGCCCCAGCAGCCTTTCCTGTCCAACCCAGTGCAGCAGGGGGATCTGTACCGACTATGCCAGCCCTTCCTGGGCCCCCAGCAGCAGCAGCAAGGAGACTCCTACTCCATGAGAGCCCAGCAGATCCCTTCCCCCTACCAGCAGGTTCAAGTGGATCCTTTTGCCATCGTGTCCAGGGCCCAGCAAATGGTGGAAATCCTGTCGGAGGAGAACCGGTCCCTGCGGCAGGAGCTGGATGGGTGCTATGAGAAGGTGGCCCGGCTGCAGAAGGTGGGTGGATGTGTAATTCAGGCATTCTCCTGTCTCTGGTCCCTAATTGAATCATTTAACCTGCAAGTGTTGGATTCTTGTGCTGAAGGGATTGATGAGGTACTTTAGAGTCTTTGGTATGCAGATTGATTAGTCTGTGTCCTGTGCCTTTGGGCAGCAGCTTAACTTTGGCAGAAGATGGAATCAAAGCCTTCAGTTTTCTGCTAACAGTTCATTGACCATGTCAAAAGCACATCCTCCTCAGCTGCTGAAGACGCTGACTGCTTGGCTAAGTTAAGGCTTGTCCATGATAGCAGCATGTTTCATTTTCCCTAAAAGACTTCAGAGCTGCAGGAAGGGCCTGTTTGGGGTGGCATGAGACCACAGCCACTCAAGGAGGCTCAGGGGACATTGCTACAAACTGGTTGGCACCACAGTGTGCAGGGCAAGCAGTGCTGCTATGGCTACACTAAAGACATTTGGACTGCAGGACTGGGACTAACACTCCTTTTGTCCCTCTCCCAACACCACACAATTTCCATGAAAACTTAATGTCTTGATTTGGACCCAGCCATTTGCCACCTTTGGCTTTATGGAACAAGCAGAATAAATTATGTTAAGACATTTAAAAGGAAATACCCCAGTGAGACCCATCATTAATGTGCATGTGTGGAGGTATTTTCATGCTGCCTCACAGAAATAACTTCTTGATGACCAGTGGTTTAAAGCTGGGCAGCAGGTCAGCTTTGCTTTTGCCTTGCAGCTGTGGAAAAGCTGATGCTCCTTAGCAATTTAGGACTTTGTGGGCCTTGCTGTGCTCTTTGCACTGAGCTGTGTTTGGGGCCAGAAAAATGTGTGGCTGCTTGTCCTTGAGTTCAGGTGACCAGTGTGGCTTTCCACACTCATTATTCCCCATGTTACCTCTTACCAGGGACATATGTTCATTTGGTTGTATTTTTTGGAATTTTTCTGGCCAGGAAATACTTGAGATAATTGTTTGACAGCTTCCTGATAATGACAGAAGGATACAAATGCACTTCCCTCCACCTCCCTGTTGATCACTTGCTTTAGACAGTGCTGATGGGTTTTGCTATGGTGTGGATCCACACTTCTCTAGCAAATCATGCCCAGCAAGGAGAGTTAGGAGAGAATCTCCTGCTCTGGATAATCAGAGAAGCTTTACACTGAAGGATAAAGCATATCCTAAAAGGAAGGATAAAGCATATTTTATTGCAAAATTATTCAGCCACTGGTATTCTTTCTATAGAGGGATTTATCATGGACCTGAGACTTTTACTTAGGGTGTAAGTGTAGGTTTCCCTCAATAAAGAACACTTGAGACAAAGTAATCTCCTGTCTGAGACAATGAAATTTGTTAGTGGAAAATAGTAAGTTCTTGTTTTCACTTCCACTGCAGCTGGAAACAGAAATTCAGCAAGTTTCAGAGGCCTACAAAAACCTGGAGAAATCATCCTCTAAGCGGGATGCCCTGGAAAAAGCCATGAGAAACAAACTGGAAGGAGAAATTCGTAGGCTTCATGATTTCAACAGGGATCTAAGAGGTAAATGAAGTAAAACTTCTGTTCTTCAATGCTGGGGGTTTTTATTGTTATGCTTACTTGGCAGGACAGAGTTTTGCTGCAGAATTCACACGACTGGAATATGACAGGATACTCAGGTGCATTCAGTAGTCAGAGATTTTAAGCACTTGCTGGAGCAATGGAAAAGACAGGTTTAGGAGAGGGCTGCAGTCTTTCATTTCCAGCCTGTTTCTCATTGACAAGAAACATGTGATAAGCCAAATACCATGAACCAGATGCAAGCCTGGAATTCTCTCATGTCTTCTATCCTAGAGACAATTTGTACAATTTGTTCAGTTTACACAAATGGAAAGAGGTTTTGCTGACTGCCTAATCCCACAGCAGGCACGTTCACTTTATTTCCTGTCCAGTGACCCTTTTTGCACTGACATACAAACTGCAGAGTGTCTGTTCTTCCTGAAGGTCTTGTCATTCCTTATCAGTGTAGGCATCTGGTTTTTTGGATCTCCCTTCCTTTTCCAGAGTGAGCTGCTGTTGGTGTCTGGTTCTTGCTAAGAGGCTGAGGCAGCCCCACGGCTGGCAGCAGAGTGGTGTTGAGTGGTATTTGACCTTACTGGGGGGAAAAGTTTAAGCATTAGCTTGGAAGGTGGAAATCATCTGCAATTTGACATTTTGGAAGGTACACAAACAGTTGTTTAAACTGTAAGTTTGATTTTTTTAAGAAAGGCTTCTGATTATCCTGCATGCTCTCACTGCCTCATGTCTTTTACTAAGGCTCTCAGAAATTGTTTTGCATCCAGGGAGTAAAGCCATGCATTTCCCAGTACTGTACACTAAGGCCTGCATTAAATAATCTTATTCATAATAAAACACAGCATAAACATTTCATTCTAATTTTCACAGACTGATACAAGTTTTTAGCAGCTTGGAGCAGCAGAGCTGTTAAGCTGTTTTTAGGGTTTTACACTATTCCCTCAAGTCAGGTAATTGGACAACAGTAATTTAATCTCCTGTTAAGATTTAGTGGAGAGTTATAAGAGATCTTTTAATTGCATGGTGGGATTTATTTGTGTGGAAAAAATAAAGGTATAAATTGAAAAAATAAACTTCTGTATTATGGATGTTTAAAATAATTTCTTTGGAACTTTAAACTTTTCAGTTTCATTGAGTGTATTTCCTTAAGGACATAATTAAAAACATTTCAAAAGTGAGTGCCAGTTTCTCATAGGCTGTAGAATTAGCAGAACCATTCCCCCAGCATCAGGAATGCCCTGAGCAGATGTAACTTAATGCTTGAAAGTTGTTAATTATTTCTTTTGCCTTTATTGAATTGTTTTGCAGAACGCATGGAGACAGCCAACAAGCAGCTGGCAGAGAAGGAGTTTGAGGGCTCTGAAGACAATCGGAAAACCATCTCCCAGCTCTTTGCACAAAGTGAGTTTCACAGCCTTTGTGGGTCACTGGAAAGCTCCAGTCACCTGCCTGGGAGGACAGTGCAGCAGGTTCATGATCAGCACAGAAGTCAGGGCAGTGGCAGCCCAAAGCTGGCAGTGGAGAAAGGAGGAGGGATCCAAGAATTCCTTTTCTGTCAGTATCTAAAGTCCATCTGATGGGATTTATTAGAGATATTGGAGCATAGGTAATTTTCAGTTAAACCATAAAATTAGTGTTTGCCCCATAATTTACATATTTTATCCATCTATTTTATTCCTTGAAAGCTTTGAAATGAAACCTTCCCAAGCCCACAGGAGTCCTGGCAGGAGTTAAGGCCAGCAGGAGAGGAGCCTGCTAGGTCTCCTATCTCCTTCCTCTTTAATTTGCCACTGCCCTATCCTGTTGAGCAAAAATAAAGGGGATGATGAACACTCCTGCAGTCTGCTGGGCTGGGTGAGGGTCAGGAATTGTGTCCACAGCAGTGGATTTATCACAAGGCAAACCAAAATGACGGGTGTGAAATGCTGCTTTTCCTTTGTTCTGAAATGTCTTGAGGCTGACGGCGTCGGGCCAACTTTTCTCTCATCCCACAGCGTGCTCCACCTTTCTGACAATGCTCACTTTTCTCCAATTGTTATATAAAAAGGTAGTGCAATAAAATTGCAAAACAGAGTTTTTCTGTGGTGTAATAGACACTGCAGCTACCCTGACAGATTCTGGTGTCCCACTCTTGTGTCATCTTTAGCTTATTCCTTGTGGTTTGCCTTGCAAGCAAATGGCTGGCAGGGTGTGAATTCCAAACTCCTGGTGGTACTGGGAAGTCTGGGAGTTTAGTCTCTCCTTCTGCTGGTGGACACTGAGGTTCATAGGTGCACCCAGAAATTGGGGAGGTCAAAGCTGTGGGGCCTCTCCTTTTGGATGAACATGGAAGCCACAGTCCTGCATTTAATCAGTCCCAGCATTTCTGGGGGTGCTGCAGGCACTTGCCAAGTGAAGCAGTTCTCATTTGGAGAAAAGTGTGCAACAAAACCTCCCAAAGCCTCTCTGCAAGCATTTCCAGATTAACAAACAGCCTGGTAGCACTGACTGATACCTGCTGGCACAATGCCACCCTGTCTCAATGCAGCTCAGTCTCTGCAGTACAGTGCAATGTGCTCACACTGGCAGCAACTCATTCCTGGGTGGAGGAGAAATGCTGGGAAAAGATGGGCAAAATAAACCCCATCATGTGATGACATTTGTCCTTATGTCCTGGGCTGGCCCTGGGTTTGCTCTGCAGAGCTCTGGGTGCTGTTGGTGGACAGGTTTGTTTTGCAACCTGTGTGTGGGCTGTGTTGATTCCCTGGCAGAAGGGAATCTTTAGCTGCTCTGTGTTGCTAAAGCTTTGCTCCTGGCTCTTTGCTGGCAGAAGAAAGGGAGTAATTGTGGTCCTGTAAATATAGTTATGCACATGCTTGCACAAATGGGCCTGTGTGCTCCATATGCAGTCTGTCCTAACACCCAGCACCTCGTTCCTGTTTTTCAAGCCTTCCACTCCTTGTCCTCATTCCTTTGTCGTGGGATATTGGTTTCTGGAATGCAGTTTCTCTGGTGTCATCAGTGCTGGGTGTAGATCACTCCAGGGAGTATTCTGTGGTTGTGTATGCAGCAAGTGGGTTAATGTTATCTTTGGAGCTGGTTGGTTTGAGCTGGGAATGGCAACATACACAGAGGACATCAGCTCTGTGTTGTGGCTTTGCCTTACACCCTTTGTGATAATTTCTCCAGTCTCCAATTATTTTTATCCTATCTATGTTTTTATGAAGGCAGTGCCCTGTTCCTGCAACACTCAGCATTGTTGCTCCAGCTCTTCCTGGAGAGCAGCAGAAAAGGATGAGCTGCTGTGTTTGGGGTGGCAGGTGTGCTCAGGGAAGGGACAGAACAGATGTTATGTGCCTCACTTCGGGCCCAGGGGGTCAATTTTACAGGCAGTAGAGGAGGACTGAGCAGTTCTTACTGCTGATTTGTTTTCTGAAGATATCTCCTCTGAAGATATTGCCCTGAGAAAGGACAGAACCCCCTTCCAGTTTGGGGGGTCAGTGTGGAAAAAAGGAACACAAGTTTTTCAGGAACACCAGCCTGCTATCTCTCTGCCCAGCCTGAGATATTAAAATTACTCAGTTTGTTTTCCACTGCTGAAAGCTCAGAGGTGAGGAAGTGCCAAGTTTCACTAACCATCTGTATAATCACAGCAAATTACCTGAGTAACTGTACTGAGTGATGTACCTTCTGTTCCTTCTCACTATCTTTGTGGCACATTGTTGCTTGAAGGTACCATACTTGTTTTTCAGGATTACAGGTCCTTCTCTTCCTTGAAAGCCATGTCCTTTTCTCTTCCCTCTTAGCACTACATTTGCATTCTCTTTCTTGTGAGAAGTCCCATTGCAATCGTCCCTTCACCTCTGGAGTGAAAGGCTCCTGAAAACTGGACAGAGACAAGTGCTGTGCATTGATAACTATCACTTTTTTATCCACAGACAAGGAAACACAGAGGGAAAAAGAGAAACTGGAAATAGAGCTGGCTGCTGCCCGCTCCACCAACGAGGACCAGCGGAGACACATCGAGATCCGAGACCAGGCCCTGAACAACGCTCAGGCCAAGGTGGTGAAACTGGAGGAGGAGGTAAGAATGCTGAGAAAGAGGGGTCAGGGGAGCTTGTGTGCCAGCAAAAGTGGCTTTGGGAACGAGTTTGTCTTGTGGAAGTTATAAGGAAATCTGTTTTCCTCAAAGCTGTTTCTGTCAGTTTAGCTTTGTGTTGACTGGCTAAACAGATAAGCCACAAATCTCTATTTCCTTGGAAATGCTTTTCTCTAAGCAGCCATATTTTGTTTTCCTTTTGTTTCAACTTGTAAAAGTGGGCTGGAAGTGGAATCTCAGCCCTGGAAACCTGCTGGACTTGGCAGAAGTTCAGATCTGGATGGACTTTCAAGTAATATCAGATGAATGTGGCTTGTCCCTTTGCCAGGTGTGGGGACAGTGCAGATCCCCGTGTGTGCCCAGCATTTGTAATAAGCTGGGCATGACCTTAGTTGTTTTCTCTGCCTTTCCTCCCAAGAGGGGATAATACATTTGAGCTGCTCTGCTGGGCAGCTTTCACAGCAGTTTCTTTTGCAGCCTTGTCCCTGCCATCATGGCTCTCACCTTTGTCCCTTCTGCGTCACGGTGTCCGTCCTTTCCTCTCCTGCCTTCTGCTCTCTGCTCAAAGGCCCCACTTCCCACTCCAGCCTCTGCTTCCTTTACTCCTACTCTTCCTCCATGGAGAGTCTCAGGAGGAAATCTTCTGGCCAAGCACACTTCCTCACTGCAGATTTGTTCTCCAACCCTGCCATCTCCCTGGCTACCAGCACTCAGCTGGGCACTGTGCCTGTGCCCACCTGAATTTTGCTGCTTTCAGAGACATTCCTCAAACACTACCCTTGTCTGCTTTTAGTTCTCTCTCCCTTCAGGATCCCATTGTGCCCACAGAGGAGGAATGGTCAAATACTAAGTGAATATCCTCCTCTCCCAGGTACAGGTGTAGCTCATTCCTGAGTTTTAGCCTGCTCTTCTCTGAGCTCTGGATTTGCCTCAATAGCTCTCCCCTGAATCTTCCTGTGTCTCTCCCTGCTATCCTTAATTTTTGTCATTCTTTCAATCTCTTCATGGAAGCCTTCCCTCAGTCCCTCTGGATCTCCCCTGGAGCTGCTCTGCTCATTCAGGATGTTCTTGTGGGTTTATCTGCTGTCATAACCTCTTTTAGCCTGCCATGGCTGACTTGCACTCACTCAGGGGACAGGGAGCATTAGGTTATAGGATAATTTACATCTGCCATGGCTCTCTTTAGCTCTGAAATTATTCTCTCATTGATTCTGCAATGTATTGGAGCTCTTTGGCTTTCATTCAAATTTCAGCACCTTATTTAAAAGTCTGATGGGTCTCTAACTCCAAGGACATGGGACATCCTCGTGGTTTCCCTGGAAAATGCTTGGAGTCAGTGTGGATGAGGTGCTCTGATAGCTGGGCCAGCACACACAGCACTTGGCTGGGCTCAGTCTCTGTGTAGACACTCTTTCTGGCTCCCTCACAATAAAGTTGAAGCTTTGAGGGGTAATAATAATTGTATGTTTTATTTTCCAAAGACTGCTCTTGTTTCACCAGAAGAATTGGGTTCAGTGCTGTGGCAAGGTATTTCTGCCTAGGTAGAACAGTGAAATAGGTAAGTCACTCTGGGCTAAATTGCATGATAGCTTAAGAAGCACACACAGGCTGATCCAGGGTGAAATGATCTGCATGAGGGCTTGTGGTCACAGGCATCCAACCTTTGCTCCAATCCCAGGGTGTGCAGGAAGTGCCACCCTTCCTGCTGTAGATAAATATGGAAGTGTCTCAGTGAGGGAGCAGGAATTAACTCTGCTTTTTCCTAGAGGTGAGAGAGAATAAGGGGAGACAAATGCTAAAGAGTCACTTTTGCAGGTTTCCCAAATCACTTTTTAATGAAATACTTAGGATTAGAACACATTTGTTGCCTCATTAGTGTTGAACTGTGGAAAGTTCTCCAATCCCCAGGCTGCTTGGTAATTCCCAAAGGCAGCCAAGGAGCTGCTCAGAGCTCAGGGCACCTTTAGAAAAGGCTGGGAACACCATTCTGAGTTAGTGGCATTCAGTGGCCAAGAGATATGAACCATTAGTGGATTATTTCTTTATTCTGGCCAGGTTAATCTGAGTGACTAGTCCCTGTAAGTGTCAGGAATTTCCAAACTGGTCCTGCAGCAGAGGGTGGAGTTTCTTAGGCTCAGGTTTGGCAGCTACTCTGGCTCAGGGCCTGAGGGGGGATGCATATTTCAGTTGTTGCCTCTTGTAATGTAAGTTTTCACCTTTTCTTTTTACCCTTTCCATTTTGACTTCCTATTAAGCAGAGTAACCTTGCCTTGTGTGCACCAGATCCTTTATAAATGAATATTTCCATTCTAGAGAGAGCTATAAGCAATATATGACTGTAACTGATTTTAAATGTTGCATTGGAATTGGAGCTTTAGATTCTTTTCAAAACCCTTGGCTTGAATTGCCAGTCTGGACAAAATCTGTAAAATGTAGACACTTCTCTACACCTGTGGAGCTTTGAATATTTTTATATATACTGGATTTCAGCATCCAAGTTAAAAAAAAGGAGAGATAATGGGATGTTAAATGTAATGGAGGAAGGAATGATCTTGGAGATACTGAAGTGCAGTGTGAAGCAGTTGGATGCAAAAGTAGACATTCACAGAATGCTTCTCCTGTTAGCAGGGGTGAAATGGCTCTTCAAATTTAGAACAAGTTGCCATTGAAGTTTTTGATAGTGTGGGGTTTATTTCTGCAAAGTGCAAAATAGGGTGAGTGTTCATAAATATTTAAAGCAAACTTAAATGTGTCTATGAACAGAATTGCTAAGTATGTATATGTTTTATATATAATATTTAAACTTTACTACTTCTCTACTCTCCATAAAGATACACAGTTATTAACCCCTATTTTCACTTCTCTATTTTTGTTCTTCCCTTTAGTAAATGTTCCAGTTTTGCATAAATCAGCAGCTTACTAAAATTGTTTCTAGTGAAGTATTGGTCTGTGGTTTCTGAAATCAAAACTTCAGATTGTTTTCATTACATGTAATACATTTGACATAAATTGAACATATTTAAGGTAAAATGAAAGTTGGCTTAAAAATGTACATCACAGTCAGAAAGAGTTAGTGATAATATTTGGAGCTAAAGCAATGAAAAATTCTCATTTTGGATCATTTGCGAGGGTCTCAGGTGGGATGGCAGCAGTGTTGTGGCTGCTCCCACAGGATTTAACCCCATGTGCTCTCATCCACCTTGAGCCTGGAGCAGATGGAGCAGCTAAGCTGGGCTTTGCTTTGGGCCAGGGCCAGAACTGCTGGCTTTGCAGAAAGGACCATCCTGACCCACCTGACTCTGAGGAAATGCTGACTTGCTGCCAGTCCTTACCAGACTTGCAATGTTGCAGGAGGGAGTTTGGTGCCAAATGCTTTATCTAACCACAACTGCTGAGTGCAGAGGCTGCAAGTGCTACTGGTTTTACTTTTTTTTTTCCCCTCAAATTGGTCATTTCTGCTTACCCTATTTAATTTATACCACGGAAGACCACATTTCAACTTAACAAAAGTTTGTGGGTTTTTGATAGTAGTGTAACTTGTACTCCTTTGCTCCATTGCTTTACAAATCACTTTTTTACTGAGTGCCTCAAGGAGACAGCTTTGAAGAATAATGGCAAGCACCAGGAAGATAAAAATATCTGCTCTTTGCCATCCTCAGACACACACCTTGCAGTGGGGAGAGAAGACAGACCACCTCTCTAATGGGTAGAAACTGGGGGATAAAGCAGGGGACGAGTTTGAATGAAATATCTTTTCGTTTAGAAGTTCATAGATCTTTCAGCCATCACAATTCCAAATGGAGCAGATACCAGCTGAGATAATGTGTTCATTTCTCACTGTGCTGTTGTGCAGAGAAAAAATGCTCTATTTCTGATAACACTGAGGGTTCTGTCTGGGGGGAAATGCAAAAATACATTTCCAGTGACATCTCTTGTACTTTTTATGCTGTGCCTGAGATACTTTCAGAACAGAGCCCTGGCTTGTAAGGAGGAGACCCAAAGGAGAGCTGTCTGCTTGATGCCTGCTCAAGTTTTTTCTAGTCACTATAAAAAGATATTCCTGGTCTCCACAGCTTTGTTTCACATAGACTCTGAGAGCTACCTAATAATCCTTTCAGGAGAGAGTTGCTTCTAAAAGGGACAAGTTTTGGATGGCTTGTCACTCCTGGATGGATTGGGTGCCGAGGAGAGAAACCTCCCTGTTTTCCCTGAAACTGCTTCCCTCTAATGAGCTGCATTCTTGTGACAGAGCTGCCTTTTTATTGCCATGTCACTGTCTCACATGTTCTGCCTGTTAGTGATTTTCCAGCGGTGGCTTTGAGAGTCAGAACTTTATTTTAACACAAACAAACGGGGCGACGACATTGTGACACTGCCATGCCACAGACACTGTTCCCCAGCACGGGATAGTGTTACCAAATTGTTTCAGCAGGAATTCTTGCTGAGGCCACTGGCGCCTTGTTGGGCCTGAATTCAAACAAACTGAGGGTTCAAAGGCATCCTAGAGGAATATATTCCAACTGCAAGAGGGTGAGGTGATGTAAACGTGCTTGCTGGCTTTTTCTTTTTTTTTTTTTTTTTTTTTACTACATTTCTGCCATAGCAGGCAAATTCTTGTGGGGAAACACATTTTCAGCTGCATCTGAATGGATTCAGCTTTAGGATAAACCCAGAAATGTTATGAAAACACCCTGAATATATTAAACAAAGGACTTTGAAGACATCAGAAATAGTGGGTGGGAGACAAGCAGATGCTGATGAGTGTTACCAATTTGCTGAAATAGGAGCTGTCCAAGATGAAGAGGGTAATGCCTGGGTTTGACAAAATGCCTGGGAGAGTTCTGAATCAGTGCAGGAAGTCTTCTCTTCTTCCCCAGAAAAAAAACCCAAAAAAATCTTTGCTGAGTAACTCATCTGGAAGCAATGAATCTCTTCCCTCAAAGAAGATCCTTCCCCCTCACCTGCTGTGTCCAGGGCTGTGTTTGTCCTGCACAGGCAGCCCCAGTTGGAGGATGTTACAGCCTCCTTTGTGCCTTGACTGAAAATTCCTCATTCCTGTGTGCCCCTGCTCCCTTTCCATGAACCTCTGTGCCCTCCTCAGAGCCTCTGCAGGGAGCTGGGATCCCTGAAAGGCATTGCATGGTTTGTCAAAGCCTAAATAAATGAGGAACAGTGTTTGGTTTTTAGAATGTTGTTAAATCATTTTCTGCTAGGCAGTTGTAGTAATAATCAAATATCCCCCATTTCTGAGAGGAAAACTTGTCTTTGGCCACTGATTTTAGACCATGCAGGTACATGCCAAGGGAGAGGGGAAGTTAAATGAAGCTGGAAATACTTGATCAGGCAGCCAGGGAATCTTTCTGGGATATTCCCTGCATTGCTTTGCTCTTTGTGCCCTGGATTTCTGCAGAGCCCAGGTCAGTCATGGTCATCTTTATTTTTTTTGTCCTGAGTCATGTTGCAGAATTTACATAAACTTTGTAGTAAATGGTAGCTGGAGAGTGGCTGCTCCTGTTTACATTGGTTTAGTTAGAATTACAGCCTGACCTCTGATGCTTGGTTAGGACATTTTCCAAAGCAGTCAGAGACTGACCTGGAGATGATAAGGACATTATTGAAATTGTGCTGTAGGAAATGCTGGGAGTGGATACAGTCATCCTGCTGTGCTCCCAGACATGCACTGAGGTTATTTGAGATCTTACATCGTAAATAGGTGTTAAAATAAAGATACTCTCATTAGCAAAATGCTCTGCATTTTCAGAGCACCCTTGGAGGCAAAGCAGTTATGATACATTAAGTGAACATGAGCTTGCTTCTTAGTTAAATGCTGTACCATCAAAAGGAAAATTACTATCTTGTCAAATTTATTTAAAATTACATCCCAAAGGGTGTGACTGCATCCTTGTAAAGCTTCAGGAATGAGCTCTTATCTGGAGCACCTGTTCTCTGCAAGGTCTGATGCAGAGGAGAGAATTCCTGTGTCCTTTGATGCCATCCCTGCCCTGGGAGATGTTGCTGTGGCCCTTGGCACTGAGCAGCCAATTTTGGTTCTTTGCTGGGAGAGGGAGGGTGGGGAATCCATGGCAAGTGACCAAGAACAAGCCTCAGCTCGCTGCCTTTCTTCCTTCTTCCCATCTTAGTTATGTCTTCAGCACCTTGGCAATACTCAGGAAATTGTTTCCAATTCCTGTCTTAGGAAAACAAGATCATACTCTTGATTTCTGGTAATGAAATCCCTCTGTGCTTGGAAGAATCATTCCTGATCCTCTACAATGAGAGTCAGATCCACTCAGAGAGATGAAAACCTAAAATGTATAAATTTAGATTTCCCTTCTAGCACTTCTGGAGAATCCCGGTTCACAGAAAAGTAAATTTTTCTCACAAATACTTGCAGCAGCAGAGTGGCAGATCTGGAAATGAATGAGAGTGCCAGAATATGCAGTGACTTCATTGAGTGCAGCAAGTGCATGAAATGAGATTATCTTAGAGAGAAAGGATAATTCTGACAAAAGATACCAGGAAAATTGAGTTGTCTGGAGACATCCCATGCCTTTAAAGCTTACTGAACACCTGGGTTCCAAAAACCTGAAAATCATTTGAAGAATTTGTGAATTAATTCCAGTTTTAAGCTGTTGAAAAGAATACACACACCAGCCCTAAATCTTCCAACATTCCTAATTCTTCCTGATGCTGGAGGATGAAGTGCATCTTGTGAAGGGATAAAAAAATGTTGTGTTTCTGCAAAGCCACTGAACAAGCTGTGCCTGGACTCTGGGGCTGGTGCCCGAGCCAGGCGTGTGCAGGCAGTGCTGGGAGCTTGGGCAACAGCTTGTGTTGCAACTTTTCACCTGCAGGTTTGGCTGATGGGAGAACCTTCAAAGTGGATGTTTCAGTGGAATTTCTGTGTCCTAATTCTGCTTTTTGGCTGGGCTCTTGGTATTCTTTGAGTGCAGGCCAGAGTGTTCATCCACACATATGCATACTCAGGTTTGTTAATTGCGAAACTGTAAAGTGTTGGTGGTTGCTGCTTTTGCAGGATTTTACCTGTGTGTTAAAAAACTGCTCAGGAATTGAAATGCTTGGTAGTAAGTAATGAGACCAAATGTCCAGCACCTCATCCTTAACTTTATAAAGAAGAGAGAGGTAGGAGAGCTGGTTTTGAAGGGATTATTTTTCAGCTCAATGTGTGGTATTTCACTGCTAGTGAGTTTATCAAATTGTTCCTCACTCTTGTCCAGGTCAAAACCCAAGATACTGAGTGCTCTCCATATCTGGGTTCTATCTGACCCTGTATTTATAACTTCTGGCTACTTTGAGCTGCTCTTAATCTAAGTTTAAAGCTAGTGCATTAATGCACACTTCAGTGGAGTCTGACAAACTCTGAATTGGTGTTATCAAGTACTATGATCTGGAATAAAAAGATTTATTAAGTATAACACATTCATTGATTTTCTGCAGAGCAGCAGTCGACTATTAAGTTACATTTAAATGTTCTCATCACTCCCATTCCAAACAAGCTTGAAATCTTGAGCAATCAAAGAATAAAAATACCTTTCTACTGTACATGCACTGGGGGGAAGTCCTTTGGCTGGGTTGCTCACTGTTTGTTGTAACTTTTATTATAAAATTCTTGTTTGGGGAAAATCCTCTAAGGCAGCAACATTCACGCTGTGGGATTAGATGCCTGCTGACTTTATGGAGAGAAGAAAAGGATACTATGTCTGAGATTAATATTGTTGGGAGATTTTTCTGTCTCTGCTCTTTGCATTGCCTGAAGGAACAGGAGTGAGAAAAGGGAAATTTTTTTAAGAAACACATGATAAGACCTTTTTGGAGCAAAGGTGTGATGTAAGAAGAGCTCGTGTTGTTCAGATCAAAGTATCCTGTGTGTGCTGAGGCTGAGAGCAGATTCCTGGGGAGCACTGGCAGCATGGGGCCAGCCAGCCCTGATACTTTCCCAGAATACTTTCCGCTTCCAAGAAGGACTTCCTGAGCCAAAAGTGGTGTCTTTTGTCTTTAATATCCCTCAGTGGACTTTTCTTCCATCAAGCTGTACAGCAGCTCTTTGAACTCACATAAGGGAGTCTGTGTTTTGCATTGTGGTGCTTGTCTAGAGCTTTGGCTCTGACTGTTGGGAAAAGTTGCCTTCTTCCTGCTATTTTTGTATTTTAGGGTTTATGACAATCAGAGCTACAAAAGCAGTGCCCCAGATTTGCTGCACAGGGCCAGCTAATTGCAATTGTTTAATCTTTTCCTAAACAGAAAATAATGCCCACAGGTGTGCAGTATTCCCTATATTTTAATAGAACCGGGCCCTGGATATATTTTATTTTATTTTTAAGTAATGTTTTAGTTTTTATTCTGTGTGAACTGTGGATTAATCTTGCTAAGACAGTTACTGGGGGCTCAGTGTAGTACTTTTTGTTGCTTCTTGTGAGGCAGAGTGGCAGCTTGGTTTGCAGGACGAGCAGTGGAGGAGGATGGAAAGGCAGTGGCAGATACAGAGCAGGACCTCTCAGGCCAAGAAGAATGGCCATACTGATGGGATAAACCTGCCATGGGGAGAGCTTGGGCCATGGCTGGTGTGTGCTTTGATCCTATTATCTTATTGTGATTGGAAAGCAATAGGATTCTACAAATTTTGATTCAGTTTCTGCGTAATCTTGTAAAAATGCTGCCAGCAATTTTCAGTTCTGCACTGAGAGTGTTCCCAACTTGGGGATCAGCTCTAAACACTTCTGCAGTTTCCTTGGAAACGTGTGTCAAGTCACTCAAACTCTGTTTCAGTCCCTGGTGCCCTTTCTAGTCCATTGCTGCTCTCAAACATTTGCCACAGATAATTTCTTCTGTTTCCCCATCGTTACCATGGGGTCACTGAGGACAAAAAGGACAAAAACACCCAGCAGGAGAGCAGAGCTGGAGCATCCTGAGTGGCCAGGCCAGAGCAGGCCAGGGCCCACAGACAGCATGGAATCTGTCAGGAATCATGGTATGGTTTGGGCTGGAAGGGACCTTCATGATCATCCAATTCCAACCCTCTGCCACAGGAACACCTTCCACTGTCCCAGGCTCACTGACAGCATGGCCTGTCATGAATCATGGAATGGTTTGGAATGGAAGGGACCTTCAGGATCATCCAATTCCAACCCTCTGCCACAGGGACACCTCCCACTGTCCCAGGCTGCTCCAAGCCCTGTCCAGCCTGGCCTTGGGCACTTCCAGGAATCCAGGGACGGCCTCAGCTTCTCTGGGCACCCTGTGCCAGTGTCTCCCCACCCTCACAGGGGAGAATTCCTCCCAACATCCCCCTGGCCATGTGAAGCCATCCCCCTTGTCCTGTCTCTCTCCATCTTTCCTGTGGGCTCGTCGAAGTCACCTCAACGTTTTCTTCCCAGCAAAGCCCGAAGTTCACTCGCTTGTTCCCATTGTTTATGCTGCCTTTTCTTGCTTTGTTTCAGCTGAAGAAGAAGCAGGTCTATGTTGAGAAGGTGGAGAAGATGCAGCAGGCCTTGGTTCAGCTGCAGGCAGCGTGTGAGAAGAGGGAGCAGCTGGAGCACCGGCTGCGCACCCGGCTGGAGAGGGAGCTGGAATCTCTCCGCATGCAGCAGGTACCCCTGGCCCTGCTGGGCTCCTGGATTGCACCCTGCCCACACACAGGAGAAAGGCACTGCATTTTTTATCTTGTGTTCTTAAAAAACTTCTTTTTCACTAGTTAGATTCATGGGTTTCTTCCATTGTATTGCTTTCACCTGATTTATAGATAAGGAGCAATAGAGGATCCATCCTGTGACAAGATCAGCCTCATAGCTACATGTTGCTGCACCTTTAAATACCAGGGTTATGTTATTTGAAATTATTTAAAAATTCCTGTTCACAGTTTGTGATTTTACATAAAATTCATTAACAACTGGCCTTAAAAGAGGCCCTTCAAAAACCTTTTGAATTTGAAAAAGCACACAAGGCTAAACTAGCAAAGTCAATTCTATAAATGCAGTTGATGGAAATAGATGGGAGTTTCATATAGACTGTATTGCAGTATTATTGAGAGTCTTTTTCAGTGAAAAGAATGAATGAGAAGTAGATTGTGCAATTGTGTTAAAAATTACATTAACTTCAGCCTATGTTAAATACAGATAAACTGTCAGGTGTCTGAATTTTACTGGAAATAGGATGCAGGCTTATGCTCTAAATCACATTTAGTGATTAGCTTTAGTGATTTAGCTTACCTTTATCCCCTAACTTCCATCTCTGCATAGAAATAGATATTTAAATCTTGGGGTTTTGTATAGGTTTTAGTAGGAGTTACAGTAATTTGATAAACTTTTCTGTTACACTTTTGGAAGAGCAGGTATTCTAAACCCCACAGCTTTTTACATTGAGCCTGAGTCAACACTAAAATTGTTTTCCTGTCATGGTTAAAATTCTGAGCTTAGCATAAAATAGTTAGTTTGCCCTATTTCTATTCCTTTAAACTATTTATTTTATTTTTAAAGTCAAATGTCTTGTTAATCCCACATGACACTTCCATATAAAACTGCAAGTTTTATTCATTGAACTATTATCTGAGCAAATCTCCATGTTTCCTTACTTTAAAAGGGAACACTGCCTGCCTTCCAAATCTTGCTTTAGAACTGAATTATTTCAGTCCCCAGCTATACAGTGATCATATTAATGTAGGAATCAAATGCTTTAAAAATATTTTGGATTTATTTTTTGGAAGGGATGACACTAGTCAGTGCCTTGGTGAACACTTGGGAGTCAGTCTGTGTTACAGCAGGCATTATGGAAGGGCTGTGATCATCACACCTCTATAGCACAGTCCAGCTCTGGGATGCATATTTGGGACTTTGGGAAGGCCCAAATACACATCTTTGGAAAAAAAGATACTTTTGGGGGAAAAAAAGACCTTGGGAGGATTATTTTGCATCTCGGGTGTTTTCTTGTTACCCTGCCCAGCACAGCATAAAGCCACTGCATTTCCCTCTGGGGGGTTCTTGTGTCAAACCAGTGACAAAAAGCAAAGCAGCCAACCCTGAGCCTTACAGCTGCATCCTGAGCCTCCTGTTTTTGTGTGCTTTGTTCCTTTCCTCCTGGGGCTCAGCGCCAGGGCACATCTCAGGCTGCCAATGTCTCAGAGTACAACGCCACAGCGCTGATGGAGCTCCTGCGTGAGAAGGAGGAGAGGATCCTTGCTCTGGAAGCTGACATGACCAAGTGGGAACAGAAGTACCTGGAGGAAAGTGTGATGAGACAGTTTGCTTTGGATGCAGCTGCGACTGTGGCTGCTCAGAGGTAAATGGGACTTTTCACAGCACTGGGATTATTTTCTTTTTCCAGCTGAATGTCATATTTCCCACCCAGGAATGCTGTCATGCCATCCTCCTGTGATTGCTCATCCTGTGGTCTGAACAGCTCCTCAGAGCTCTGCAAGCAAGTGGAGCTTGGTTGTTCTTCCTGGGAGCTGTGCAATTGCCAGCAATTAGAAATGTTTTTCCAGGGGAAGATTCCTCCACATGCAGGATCCATTTTCCAGACTAAAATTGTTCTGAGCCATTCCTAGATGCTGTTGATTCAAAGGGGAAGAGGTTTGGGGTTTTTTTAATTTTTAAAACAGGGATCAGTCCTTGCTGAAGTCATGTGAGATGGGGTGAGCTTGGTGATTCACATCATTCACCCTGAATGGCTTCCTTGTTCTCCAGAATGTTTTTGCAAATTACTTTGTGGTATTGTCTGCTTACTAACCAGAAGCATCTACTAAGAAATTCTGCTCAAAACATTCTGCTGTGTATGGAAAGCACTGCTTGTGGGGGTGGGAAGGGTGTCTGAAATTTGGTAATAAGCTCCCATTTCAAGACAACTGTACAGAAACACTTATTATGGCTGTGAATAGGCCAAGTGCCTCAGCTGGTTGGTAAATGAGAGCTGTTACTGGAGTGCCTCTCCTTAGCATTAGGCCTTGCTTGCATGTCATTTCATTGCTCACTAGTTCATGGTTCTGGACAGCAGATTTTCCTGTAGATTGTTTCATGAGCCAAATCCAGATAGGGATGTTATCACAACTGGATTCCCAGCTTGTAAGATCACACTGGAATTACAGGGGTGAAGCTGCAGATCTGCTGTGTCGGTGTTTAAAGACTTATCTTATCTTGCCCCAGAAGGAAGCTGTTATTTTAGGGCATTGATGCTTATTGTGCACTGTTTTCCACCTCCCCAGAGATTCCCTGAAGGCTCCAGCTGCTGCTTGTGCTCAGAGGCCAGGTTATATTTTCAGCGTGGGCTGATAAGTTGGGGCCTGGTCTATTGTTTATCATGGACTGGGAGGGGATGTGTTAGGCCTGCTCAGGTTTCACCAAATGAACAAGAATGTTGTCCAGTCAGGAAAGAGGCTCTGCTTTTCCATTTCCATCTAGATTCCACTAATTCCAGTGGCAACCTCATCAACACTGTCCAGATTTCTTTCCCTTTCCTTTAACAGTGGAAGCTGGCATCCCTTGGGAAGCTGAGGTTGCAGGAAGGATGCTTTAGAGGCAGGAGCTGGGTCAGGTTGGGTTTCTTTGGGGAGGGATCTTCTCATGCCCTGCCACATTCACAAGCAGAATGAAATACTCATTATTTGGTTAGTGGACTGACCAAGTATCACAGTATTAACATTAGGCCTTATATGGAATCAGTCTGGAACTCTTTTCACCTTATTCCAGATATTTTGGAATAAAGCTGCTTAGGATTGCTTAAGAAACTTCCATGCCTTGTTCCCTTTGATATTCACATCCCCTGTATGATACTGTTGGAAGGGGAAGGGAAAAAGCTTTTAATTTGAAGTTGAAGAAAAGTGCCTGGTGTTCCTTTCCCCTTCTTGTGTCCTTGGATTTGCCTCCTTGATCACTTCAGAATAGTGCAGTGACTCAGTTTAGGTGAGGCACTGTCCCAAAATGGACAGGAGGTTGTTGTTATAATGATCTCCATGTTTTTGTAATCCCTCTTCAGTAGGACACAAACGAAATTGGGAGTTGGATTTTTGGAAGACACTGAGCCAGCTTAAACGCAAAAAAATTGTGGATATCCATGTTTGTTCCATTTGAGCAGTACTTTTGTGCTGCTGGGGGGAAAGCAGCAAAGTTAGCAGGTCCTTGATGTGCTGTCAGGTCCCTCATGTGCTGTGAGGTCCCTCATGTGCTGTGAGGTCCCTCATGTGCTGTCAGGTTCCTCATGTGCTGTGCTGCTTGTTGCAGGGACACCACGGTGATCAACCACTCGCCCAACCCCAGCTATGACACCTCCCTGGAAGCTCGCATCCAGAAGGAGGAGGAGGAGATCCTGCTGGCCAACAGGAGATGTCTGGACATGGAGGGAAGGTAAGGTGCACTTTGGTCCTGTCTGGCTTCTTTGGAACAGGGATTTGAGATGAACTGCCTGGGTAGACGCCTCAGAACCAGAAATTCTTGTGTCTTCACCAGCAGCAGCCATGTCAAATGCCAGACACTCATTTGGCCAAGGAAGTAGAAACACAGCAATCCAAAACCTGTCTTGATACTGAGGGCTAATGCAAAAAAGTCTTGTCTTAGATTTTTTTGCATCTAGCTTGTTGCTCTTCTCTCTTCAGGGCATCTTCATCAGACCCCAGACTCCAGCCACCCTTTAACAGGCTCACAGACCTGTTTTCCCTGGGGTTAGGCCCCCAGTGCAGACTCCCCAAAATGTGTTAATTCTTTCTGTTGGTCTCATATTCTGCCCATTATTCTCAGGTTTGTTTCAGAGCTCCTTCCATGGCTGTTTAGAGCAGTTTCCAGTATCCAGAGGGCGGTGGGTCTATCTCACGTGATCTGCTCTGTGGGCCAGAGAGCAGCCAGTGCCCAGGACAATCTCCTGGCATCCTCCCTCCACCTCTCCAAGTGCCTAGGGAGCCCTAATCACAGCCATGGGGACACTGAGGCCTCAGTCTAGGGAGATAGGAAACACTTAAACTGTTCTTTTTCTTTGCCCCCAAGGATTAAGACCCTGCATGCCCAGATCATCGAGAAGGACGCCATGATCAAAGTGCTGCAGCAGCGCTCCCGCAAGGAGCCTGGCAAGACAGAGCAGCTCTCCTCCATGAGACCTGCCAAGTCCCTCATGTCCATCTCCAACGCTGGCTCAGGCTTGCTGTCCCACTCCTCAACCCTGAGCAGCACCCCCATCCTGGAGGAGAAGAGGGAGGACAAGAGCTGGAAGGGCAGCCTGGGTAATTTCCAGTGGCAATTCTGATTCAGAGCCAGTGCTTGGAGGGGAGGCAGGGGCAGCACAGGAGGGTGTGTTGGACAGATAGAGCAGCTGGCCTGGCCTGCAGTAAAGCTGTAGGATGGGACACATTTGAAATAGCTGCTTATTTTAATCACTTCTGGGAATTAGTGACTTCTGATACTCAGGCTCTGCCATTAAATATGTAAACCTTTATTCCCAATTTGCCACCTGACTTTAGGGATGTCTGGGATACAGTTTTCAGGGTTCCCAAGCACTTGCTTTCAGCTGGATGTTACAGCTGGATGATGGTGTAAAGTCTCCTTGAATTGGAGCAGAGATTTTAATCAGGATTTCCATCCTGTAGCGTTGTGCCTGCAGCAACATGACTCCTGTCTGGAATGGCTCAGCAGTATTGTTCTGAGAAATGGAGTTGTAACAAAGCAAATCCCAGGTGATTTTTTTTTCCCTGAGAGTAAAAACCCCTGAAATGTAAATGAGGACCTGTTGCAGGTGATTTCAGAGTGCAGATTAGTGCCCAGCTGCAATCAGCAACATGGGGACACTGCTATTGCTCGGGTACTTCAGCACCCAGGGGAGGAAGGTGCTGTGCAAAGGCAAACCTGTGCTGCCTCTTGAGGGAGGGTGCACTTTCCAGCTCCTGCAGCAATCAGTGCAGAGTGGTGCAGAGCTGATAGCAGTTAGTTTTCTGTGACTGTGACATTTCCTTCCCTTTTCCCACACAGGTGTTCTGCTGGGAACAGAATATCGCTCCGAATCCATCCCCTCCACCCCTTCTCCTGTCCTGCCCTCCACACCACTGCTGTCAGCCCACTCCAAGACAGGCAGCAGAGACTGCAGCACCCAGACAGACAGGGGCAGTGAGCAGGGCAAAGCTGCTCCTTCCCCTGCAGCTCCCACCCCAGCACGACTCCCCAGCACCAACCTGAGCTACAGTGCAGAGAAAACAGGTAACAGAGCTGAGCCCCAGTGCCAGGGCACCCTGCCACCCACTCACCATCTCTGGGGCAGCCCTGACCTCCCTTCCTCCCTCCAGGCAAACTGGGGTTGGTTTTTGTGAGGACAAGTGTGATTGAATGGTCTCAAACACACTGAAGGAATAAAAGAAAAGCCTGAGGAGTGGCAGCATAAAGTGTGGGCACACTGGGCAGGGAGGTGCAGCAAGATTTGAGAACTGAGAACAGGGAGATGCAAATCCCTGGGCAGTCTCTGAGTCAGTGTCTGCTCTGAAGTAAGTTGTGAGTAGGATGTGGGGTTTAAACACATGGAAATGGGCTGTTCAAACTGGCTATTGCATTGAGGGGGCATCCAAAGCCAGGTGGACTCAGAGAGGGGGAGGGAGGAGAGGGAGCTATCACAATAAAGCTGCCTTGGTACCACCCCAGTCACAGGAGCAACTTGAGCCTTGGAGATCCAGTTGACAGTGACTGTCCCAGGAGCTGAATTTGCTTCCCACAGAGCTCCCAGCTGGCAGGAGCTGCTCATTTTCCAGCCCACTCTGCCAAATCAATGCAGATTACACAACCTTGCCTCTTCTCCTTGCAGACACATTACAATGCTGTTGTTCTTCATGGCAGAGAGTCTTTGCCTTCGCTCTGCCTCCTGCCCATGCTGTGCTGTTTAATGGGTATTGAGGGAGAACAGGTCTGGTGGTGAAAATCCACCCTGACTGCATTGGTTTACATGCAGTCACTCCAGTTCTGTGTGGATTTGTGTATCAGTGGGAGGCACCCAAAGGGAATTTGATAAAATTGCTTTATTTGTCTGGCTGCATATGTGGGAATTGAATTTTTTTAAAACTAAATAAGTTATTAGCTGTCTTTGGCCAATGATACAAGATGACTTAAAATGTTAATATCACATTTCTAACCTGATTGAAGTTTCACCTTTAATTGTCTCTTGTTTTTTCCTCACCACATAGATGGGCCACTCTTCCACTCCAGCACTCTTGAAAGAAAAGCCCCTGTTCAGACTGTGGGGCAGGACCTCCCAGATGGAGAGATGGTAGAATACCTCATCTGAAGGGCTGTGCCAGGATCTGAGCTGGGATAACAGTAGCAAGAAATTTTTAAAAGACATTTTTATTGGGAAAAGAAAAATGTAGTACCTGAGTAATAAAAGAACACTCAGCTGTTTGCTCTTGTATATTATGTCTCAAAAGTTTGGACAGGTTAATTTATAATTTGTTCTAAATTATAAAAAACCCGTAACACTTGTTCTTTGAAAGTTTCCCCCTTTATTTTTTAAATACTGGATCTGGTAACATCTGGAGAAAAAAACTAGACCTTAGGTGCACTACATCTATTTCATTTCAGTGTTTTTAAAGTCTCCCACAGGTGCTGATACATGTCTAGCTTGAATGTAGTGAGGTGAGCTTAATGGCCTTAAAATGATCAGAACCAGGGACATGGTTGTGAGCATCACTTAATGGTGTTGGAATTCAGCTGTTCTGGGGAGCTTTGACAAATCTGAGCTGTGATCAAGGGAGATTTCCCTTTCACTTCCTCTTCCTGTCAGTGTAAGAACTCAGAGTAGGTGTTTCATGTTCATGGGTTGAAAAGATGTCCATTTTCAGTGTGGTAACTGAAACTTAAACTTCCCAAGTTCCTTTTTTAATTATTTCATTATTAAAACAAACTACTCTGGTGATTAATGTCACATTTCATATTTGTAGTTCCTTTTGCAAGATTTGCCACACTTTTATACTTAAGTACTTTTTCAATAATTTTTACAGTGGATAGTAAATAATACATTGCATTCATGTTTTACATGAATTAATAAGGAGAATTTACAGGCCCAGCCCTGATCTGCTAGATCAGATTTCTGACATCATAATTCCATTGGCTTTAGTGAAACTACTTCAAATTTACCATAGCTCAAGTGGGAAGCTCTGTTGTAGATATAACAACTTAATCTACTGCATCTGTGGAGATTTTTCTCTGCAGCAGACTTTTCTATATTTCAAATACCCTTTCTATATTTCAAATACCTTTTGTATATCCCTCCTTTCTGGAGAGACTGGATTCTTTTTCACATAGCAAAGCCTCAGAGGTAGAGCTTTAAAGAGAAGCTCTGTGTAAAGGTTCAAATGGCAGATTCTCTCCTTTCAAAATACTTCTTTAATTCATCTGAGGGGAGAGAGCAGTTTAAAGAAAGTCCCAGAGGCATTACAGAAAAAAGTTACATATTTAAGTCATGAGGTTCACTTGCAGATTTTTGGGAACTAGCACAGATGCAGCAGTGCTTTGGTTACAGAAACTATAAGGAGATATTAAGACCAATAGAAGTACATGAGTATTTTTTTGTTACTGTCTTTGCATTTTATTAAAACACTTCAATATTAATTTCTGTTAAAACCTACTCTTTTTTTGTACTTGAAAATTAAAATATTTCATTAGCCAGTGGTCACACACTGGGAACCTGGCTAGTTTCAGCTTTCTGTTCAGCATTAGAGTAGCAAAATTTTCATTACAGATAATTTCACCCCAGAAAAAAGGAAATCCAGCAATTAATTATCACAGAGTTAGTGAATGTCTTTTATTCCAGTTTGACCCTACTGCTGTGGTGTTCAAATGAAATGGCCTCAGCAGCCCACCAGGGATCACAGGAGTTCCACAGTGGGAGGGGACAGGTGGTGCCTAAACTCAGCCTGAGCTTTCCCTCTGATAATAAACACTGCAAATCCAAGGAAAACCCTTCCCACCGTTTCTGGCAGCTTTGCTGCTGGTGAGGGACCTTCAGGCCACACTCCCAGTGCTGCAGAAGGCAGAGGTGGCCAGGGCTGGGCTGGGAGATGCTGGGAAGGCACAAACCCCTTCATCAGGCAGGCACTGCCAGGCTCTGTCTGTGCTGGGGGACAATGTCTGTCCAGACAGTGCCAGAGCTCCCTTCCCTCTGAGCCATTCCCCACTTTTCCAGGCACTCTGTCCACCACCACCTCATTCTCATCCCTGAGAATGTCTTGTTTTATTTCTCTTGGTTTAATTCCATCTCACTTTATGATGTAATGCCCACCCTGGATGATTTGATTTCTCTTCCTCCTCCACAGTTGTTGGAAATTCAGCTTTTCTCATTAGCTCAAGGTGTTCACCTTTTTGCCATTTCAGCATAAGTGTCTGTATTATATTTTATAAATTTGGCTTAAAATGAGCAAGGGAAATCAAATGCCATTGAGTGGCAGTGTGAGGGGGGGAGAACTGTTTGAATGCTTTTCTCTTCCTTTAGAGTCAGGAAAAGTAATATTCCATCTTTGCAAATACATTTCAGCATCTGGAAAGAAGTTTTATGACTGTAGGGCTCTAAATAAACAGTTATAACTCTCTTGATTCACATAAATTCTAAAATGTCTGGGAAAATTTGGATATTTTACAGATAAAACCTCTTTCAGAAAACTGATTTTCTCCAATCTGTATTGGCTGTTCAGGTGAAAATAATTGGTTTATCCTCCCTGCAGCTCACTGATTTCAAGTGGAGTGCCACTGCATTTTATTTTTACAAATCAAAAAGGACGTGATAGCTTTTTGTGGATAAAATACAGCAACTATCTCCTCCAGAAATGGAAGCCAGGCTGTCTCTACAGCCTGAACCATCAGGATTGCAGCAGCCTTGGCAGTTCCTTACCCACTGAAGTAATTTTGGAAGATGATGCAGTTTCACACTGCTTAGGTCGGGCTCTTTGCCTTATTTTGTAATTTCAATTTCTTCCAAAAAAGCAAAACCCCAAAACTTTGCTGTGGAAGCTGGAGGTTGTTTTCTTGGGAGCCATCAGGAATGTATTCTTCCCCTGGAGCTTCCTCAGAGCCATCCTGATGTGAATGTAAACGAGCTGCTTGCTTTGAGGAAGATGTGTACCATAGTCTTCAGTCTCTGTACAGATTTTTATTTTGTTTTTAAAACAGAACCTGCTTTAAGGAGACAAACTGCACACCTAGTTCCTTTGCCTTCTGTAGAGCTTATTTCTAGTAGAAAGTGGTTTTTAACAATGATTGCAACGACCTTTGCAAACCAAAATTTTAGACTAAGAGTTTTTCTTAAACTCGGGTATTAGAAGCAGAATTGTAGCTTTTATAAAGAAAGCCACATATTCTTTGTAGAGCAAAACAAGAAAATGAAGTTTAGTTATTTTTCCTCTTTCCTTTCACCGCTTACAGAAAGGCCAAACTCCCAAGTCCTTCCCTTGGGCAGTTCCTTTGTGGTTTCACTGCTCAGGGAACTGCCTGAGATCCAGAGACTTTTGTTCCACCTGGCCCAAGGTTGTTATTAAATTAAACAGCTCCTACCTGCAGCTCCTGGCGGGTTAGAGCAGGGATTTATGTCTGGGGATGTGTGAGGAGTCTGCAGGGGGACACTGAGATCACCACGAGTGCTGGGCTGAAGTTCTGCCCCTGTGGGCTGTGCTGGAAGCTGAGCATGGCCTTTGCTGTGGTTTTTGGGGCTGCCTGGGTTGGGGGACACTCTCAGAGTTTTATCCAGGCCCATTTCCAAGGCCACCTCCTGCTCCAGGGGCCAGAGTGTGTGGGACACGTGTGACACCCCCAGACCCGGGCTCTGCACAGCAGGCAAACCCAAATTCTCACCAGGCAAACCCAAATTCACACCAGACAAACCCAAATTCTCACCAGACAAATCCAAACCCGGAGTGCCCAGGGCAGGAACAGCCCGGGGTAGCTGAGCTGCCCTCCCCAAGGCTGGCACAGCTTATCCTGGATTCACCCTGCTGCCCTGGCTGTGCTCTGTGCCAGGGGCTGGGGAGGGGGGAAGGGTCTCTTTTCATGTATTTGTATAGGAACTCTTTTGTAAAAGTTAGTGGTTTTATGTCTAGGAAGTAAAAAGACATTGTAAAATGTAATTGTACTGTATTTATGAAGAAAATACATTTCTTTTCAAAAAGATCTTCTTCTAAGTTGGTTTTAGAGTTTGGTTTCCACCACCATCATCTTGCAGGGTTTTTGGGGGGCAAATGGTTGGAGCATTTTCTCTCCCAGCAGGATTGTGGTCTAACAGGGGCCCAGCCAGCTCCTTCTCTTTGGGACCCAAAATATCAAAGCATGAATTAAAATACTAAAGTTTACCATTTCACAACCACAGACAGTGTGTCAAGAGAATGATCTTTCCTGTATAAATCTATATTGAAGTGAATCACATGGTTTATTTTTTCCCCCTTTATTTAAACCATCCAAGTTTATTTTGTAATTTGTTGGGCTGTTTTGTAATTCAGCTGTTGAAACAGCCCTTAAGTCTTTGAAGGTTTATGGCAGCTTTAATTCTAGAAAGAAAACAAAATAGTCAGTGTAAATATGCAGCAAGAAGTCTTGTAAATGTTGTGTATCCATGTATTTTTAAAGAATGGACCCGGTGTTTTCAGCTTTTTTCCACTGATTTTCTTCTTTTGCAGTAAATTTGTTTGGTATGAGAAGCTTATGGAATATAAAACAAAAACAATCTTCACCTTCCCTCCTCCTCACTTACTGCTTGGCCTCTGTCTTTGGGTTTTCAACTCCTAATGGGAGATTTTACAGGATAAAGTAATTGTCATTCCAGTCTGTTCCCTTAAGCATCCCGATTTATTTTTCCCTCTGGCCGTCCCTGCAGCTCACACCTTTTATCAGCAGATTAGCAGCACTTTGAGCTGCGGTGAGAGCCACCTCTCCTTTGATGCTGGTCCCTTTTCCAGACATCTGAGGCCATCAGCACACGAGCAGCCTTCAGCCCTGTGAGTATTTCCCACATCACAGCCTGCACTAGATCCTTGTGCCTTTTGTTCCTGTATTCTTGGTGCATTTTGCTGCCTCCTAATTTATCTCTCCCCTCTGCTGGTGCTGTCACAGGGAAGGAGCAGGGATTACCGGGAAGCTGCTTGAAAGTTGTCAGCCTTGATGCAATTTCACTGTTGACTTTTGAGTTTGATCTTAACATAGCTGTCACCTCCCCTGCTGTAATAAATACCAGCCTGACAAATCCCGGGGCCAGTGGTCAGCTCAGCACATCCATCCCCTCCACTCTCAGGCCTTTTGATGTTGTTTCTATAAATCTCTCTGGTGTGCCAGAGCAGAAACAAGAAGACAAAAAAATCCCCCCAAAAAACCTCTAAACAAAAACAAAAACAACAAACAAAGACAACAACAAAACCCAAACAAAAACCCCAAAACAAACAAACAAAAACAACAAAAACCCAACAACAACCACCAAAAAAACCACCAAAAAAGCCCCAAAACC